AGACATACTGGACAGTGTTGAGATTGAACAAGAACTAGAAATAGAATATTCATAATGAGCAAGAACTAGTAATAGAATATTCAAAATATGTTGTTTGTGATTTAATTTTACACAAATTAAATTTAGCACAATTAATTGGTGTGTGGGCTAATAAATTTGGCTGTGGGCCCCCAAATTTGAAAATTTAGGGGCCCACATGGCTAGTGAAAATTTGAGTTAAGTTTAAACCCTGCACAAGTTGGAACAAATGATGTTTTGAATCTTGCTCCAGCAGAAGGCCAGGTACCTACATCTGATTTTAAGGAGCCAAGCTGGGAGGCATTAGCTTTTCCACATTTATTCCCTACTGGAAAAAACATCCTAAACGTTAACAGAAAAGTGAAGCTCTCATTAAAGAAATATGCAAATGTTCGACTTTTGAATAAAGACACAAGATTTGCAGAGTGTCCTGAATATATTTTCCAAATCCTAGATTTACTTGAGAAAACCAATGTTCAGAATACTATATCAATTACAACAAGAAAGTCTTATTTTGAAGATATTTCTGTAGGGCACTTAAAAGACCCAACAAGATTTCATAGGCTCTTGAAACAAGATCAGTTATATGCAACCTTTAAAAATGTTCGTGGTACACCACAGTACTGGCAACAAATGCAGATGGATATGTTGGCAAAACTGAGACAGTTAGGACCATACACGTTTTTTCTTACTGGATCAGCAGCAGAATTTCACTGGCCAGAAGTAATACAAGTTGTAGCCAGACAATATGGAACACACCTAACCAAAGAAGATATTGATCTAATGAACTGGACAACCAAACGCCAATGGCTTCAGAGAAATCCAGTTACTGTGGCCAAACATATAGATTACATGTTTGAACAGCTATGGTCAAAAGTGATTCTGAGTGGAGCACACCCAATTGGCCAGATTCTGAATTATGATCGAAGGAAGGAAATGCAGGGACGAGGAACTGAACACTTTCATTCAGCCATACATGTAAAAGATGCACCTATAGTAGATGTTGATACAGATTCTGACTGTATTGCATTTGTAAACAAGCATATTTCCTGTCAAATTCCAACTACACATGATGATGAATTAAAACAACTTGTAATATCAAGACAAACTCATCATCATACAAGGACATGCAAGAAGAAAAACACCCATTGCAGATTTGGATATCCACGACCCCCTTCACCCTCAACACTTATTACAAGAAAACCAAATACAGAAGAAAACAAGAAAAAGGCACAAAATGTTCTAGGCAAGGTTTATAAAGTTTTAAATGAAAATGCAGCTGTGGGAAATTTGACTCTTGAACAAGTACTTGATTTGGCAGGAGTCACAGAGGAAGACTACATGGCTGCACTTCTCACAGCACAAAGGCGTACCTCAATGATTATGAAGAGAAATGTCAATGAAATCTTTATTAATAACTATAATCCTCACATTCTAAAAGCACTTAAATCTAACATGGATATACAATTCATAACTGACATTTGGGCATGCATTGCCTACCTCACGTCATATATGTGCAAACCTGAAAGAAATATGAGTAAACTTATGAGAAAGGCATGCAAAGAAGCTACACAAAAAAATATTCGTCAAGCTCTGAAAGACGTTGGTGATGTTTTTCGGAAGTGCAGAGAAATTTCAGAACATGAAGCTATTTCCCGGATTTTATCATTGCCTCTTAGAAGATCAAATATTGATGTCATATTCATACAGACAGATTTGAAAGAAAATCGTACTAGAATGCTTAAACCGAAGTATATTTTAGACCAAATGGAAGATGATGATACTGACATTTATCTTCCAACAACACATGACAAATATGCTAAACGACCAGATTCATTGGAAACATTGTCTTTTGCTGAGTTTTGTGCATGCTACAACACTTCATCAGCATTAAATCAGACAGAAACAGACAGCGATATTGATGATCATGACATTTCAAGTTCTAATACACCATGTAGTAGAACCAAATATCACTTAAAGGATGGGATGGGTATTATTACGAAACGTGCTCACCCACGGGTTATTCGATATCACTATGTTTCAAAAGAGAAAGATGAAGAGATGTATTACCATAGACTTCTTATACTCTACTCACCATGGCGATCAGAATGTGAACTTAAAGAAACTTCATTCAAAGATCATTTCTTTAAGGTGAAAGATCATATTCTCCCAACAATTAAACGTTTTGAACCATTCTATGAAGAAGTGGAACATATCTTGGATACATTTGACCCTGATGAAACTGCACCAGATATGTGGAATGAAATGGCTGCACAAATAGAACAAGAACTTAGTGATACAGCAAATGAAGATGTACAATATGAATATCCCCATCTAGATCCAGATCTCTTACCACATGACAATAATACCAGTACACCAAAGACTCAACCTCTGTCCTTCACAATTTCAAAAACCCATATTGCTTCTGACCCCCAGTTTTACAACATGGTTCAATCCCTGAATGAGAAGCAAAGATACCTCTTTGACTTTATGTTTAACTGGGCAACACAAACAAGACTTAAAAGTATCTCTAATGAAACAATCAAACCTTTCTATATCTTCCTTAGTGGTGGTGGAGGAGTCGGAAAAACTCACACTGTTAATACCATATATGAAGGACTTGTTAGAGCACTACGTGAACCAGGACATGATCCTGAAAAACCAACTGTTCTCATGACTGCATCCACAGGTAAAGCTGCCTCAAATATCAATGGTACAACACTTCATTCTGCATTCTCATTACCAGTTCGTGAGAAGTCAAAGTCATTTCAGTACAAGAAAATAAGTGCTGAGAAACTCAATACTCTCCGATGTAAGTATCAAAATTTGAAAGTCATCATTGCTGATGAAATTTCCATGTTTGGGGGAACTTCTTTGCAACATTTAGATCTTGCACTGCAAAGCATATTCCAGAATCCGCAGTCAAGTGTACCTTTTGGGGGTATTTCTATTTTAGCTGTGGGTGATCTCATGCAGCTTAATCCTGTTGGAGACTGCCCTGTGTTCAGACATCCATCAAAAAGTTCCTACGCTGCTTTAGCAGGATCACTTTGGCAAGACTTGTTTCAGTTCCATGAACTCACAGAAATAGTTAGGCAGAAAGGTGACCCTCTCTTTGCAGAAATATTATCCAGAGTTCGTACAGGACATACTACAGCAGAAGATATACAGTCCCTACAGGAATTGGAAAAAACAGACTCTTCACAATTTCCGCCAGATGCTGTTCATTTATTTATGACCAATGAACAAGTTTCAAAATATAATCATGAAAAATTAAACTTCCTCCCTCTGCCACACATTACAGTGACTGCGAAAGACTCTAAACGTGATTTACACACCAATACACAAGAAGTAGTTGTGATGTCAAACAATATTTATCAGACAGGAGGCTTACCTTCCTCTCTCACATTTGCCAAAGGAGCACGCTTAATGCTTACTAAAAATTATGACACTGCTGATCACCTTGTAAATGGTGTAATTGGAAGAGTTGCAGAATTTCACATACCAGAAAATAATCCATTAAGGATGGATTCTTCTCATATTTCTTATAATTGCAGAATCTTGATTTTCTGAATACTCAATATTCAGACTGTGTACACTTATTTAACATCCAAACAAACAGGTGTAATCAGCCTTGATTTTCAGTCAAGGTCATTTGAAAGTCAGACCTATAGATAGTACTTTTACACAGAGAAATTCTGAAATTTACACATAGGAATAAATTTTGCTTACAGAAAAAATATCTTGCTCAGTAAAATTAAAGTTATTTAACATATTTTTGATCACTAACTAACATGAATTGAGATGGTGGGAAAAAAACATGAAATCCTCGATATTCAATAAAAACATTTAATCCGAATTTCCTCGATAATTTCTTTTAAATTTCTCAGTTTTCATAAATTTACATGAAATTTCATCTCAATTTTTACAATTGATCATATAATGTCAAATATTTAGGTTTTTGTCAGATGAGTATTCAAATGTTGAAAATTAATTTACAAGGTAGAAAAGATATGGTATTCATGCTAATTATAGAACAAATTTAGCTCGAATTTACTCAACAGTTTCTGAAATCTTCCATTTTACAGAGTGGTGTTCAAATCTATAAGGAAGATTCTTAACCCCCCAAAACAGGCAATTTGGTGTTAATGTGACACATATATACATGTACATTCAATTCTTCCATTTATACATTTCATTTTATGATCGTTTGTACAAATAATATTTAAAATATTTATTTCGAATTTCCTCTGTCATTTTATTCCTACGAATAAGTTAGGTTTGACAATTTTATAAAATACATTCTGGATTCTTTTCCTACTTTATATATTCAGAAAATACTGCAATTATGCATGGAAACATTTCAAGATATGCACAATTAAATGACAAGAAAAAGGTGTGGGGTCATCATCCTTGATTTTGCTTGAAGGTCATTTGAAAAGTTGATGCTAAATATAGATTTTTTCCTCCTGTGGAATTGAGAAAATCCAATGTGGTATTTTAAAATTGATGTTTTGGAAAAATGGAGATGTTTAGATATGAAAAAACAATCTAGGTCTTAAGTTTTATGTTAAAGCAATGTACTAAAGTAAAAAAATAACAATCTTTTGATCACAAATGACACAAAATATTTATTCCGAATTTCCTTTGTACTCTTTATAAAGTGATATTTTAGTCTTTGACAATCATTCTTTTTCATTTAATATTTTTACTTAAATCATATATTCAGAAAAAAAATATTTTTACAACCATAGGAAAGATAGATGTTGAATGAATCATTTACAACAAAAAAATAAAGGGGTATTCATATTTATTAAATTGCCAGGTTAGCTCGAATTTCCTCATTTTAAAAATTATCATTGAAAAAAGAAAATGCTTTCAATATATCATATAGGCTAATAATTTAAGGGACAGGACAGGCGGTTAGATAATACATTTTCTCTAAAATGTGATATGATGTATTTTGGAAATGATTGGTGAAATTATTGCCATGTTTCCAAAAAACTTTTAAAAATTCAATCCGAATTTCCTCTGTTATAAAATATACTGGTTTCATTATTTACAAAAAAAGTAAAGGTTCGCGAACAAAATACATGTATATTTTAGCCGAGTTAAAGGCCAAAACTTTATGTTATATTATAGAATCTTAATATGTTTTGTACATGAACTAATATATGACATGTATATAAATATTTATCAGCACCAACACAATTACAATAATTGTCAAGGGTGCAACATACTAGTATAAGAATCACCAATTGTTCATATAATTTTATACAATACACTGCATCTAGATTTTGAGGCTTTACATAAATCACACAATAATATAATTTACACAATAATACACAATAAATATGTATTACAATGATTTCTAAATATATGGAATTTCTTAATAAATAAGTGTTATTTTCAGTATTTCTGTACATTGACTATCAAAGGTATATGAGACAAATTTGATACTTTTCCTTTCAAGAAAAAAATACAGCAACTTCCTTTCAAATTATTGTATTTTTGGTAGCTAAATAAAAACGAAATACATCTTAAATCTCTCCTGTGTAACAAATAATTTACAAAATCTTTCATTAGGGAGTGTTTATAGGCAAATCCCCTTTTCTGTGGCAAGGTTATGTGCACCAAGTCTCAAGCTGTTACTGATTGGTCTCTCTGTTCTTTTTTTTTTTTGGGGGGGGGGGGGGGGGGGGGGGATATCAGTGTAATTTACAGCATCTGAAATCATCAAAAACAACAATAACTTGATAACATTTTAGTTTGGTGAATTATGAACCTTTTCTTTTTTGAATATTAATCTGATATTATTTGTTTAAATGCTTCTCAGATATGATTTTTAATGACTTTGAGGAAAAATCTTAACTTGCTGAAAAATGAGAAAATCTTTTTAGTTCATCACTCACTTGATGTGCGAATTTCTTGCTGAACATCTGTTCACCTCCTGAGAGTCCAATTTTTTTGCCTACAATTATAAAAAAAGGATTAAATATATGATACATAGCAGTAAAATGCTGCATTACATGTTACACAATGTATTATACTTTCAAGTTAAATACTAAAATCTGATTAGTTTAGATGCATCTAACAATCCTTATTGTTATACTTTTAAAAATTTGTTCCTATACAAAAATATACGAAAAAGTCTAACATTTCTAATGTTTTGCTGAGCGGGCATAAAACAATTGATATTAATTAAACCACTGAGTGAGATGTTGGACCGGTCGATGAAATGTTGGACCGCTTACATGTACATCACACAATTGGTGGAGCTTAATCTAATTTGCATTTGTTGATGTTTAGCAGTGACGGACGTGAAGTTCAAGACAGTACAAGATACATATACATCTAAAGAAATATTAAAATGAAAGGTATCACAAAACATTTACTGACTGTGTTCTCAAGCAAATAAATTTTGTCGATCCTCAAACCAAATTGTCTGCCTTTGGCCTATCTGTCTTAGGCAGACACTTTGGATCTTGGGTCTGATAAAACGCATGTTGCCCTTGAACTCAGTCAGTAATATTTAAAATTGACATCCCTTGTATCAGTTGACAATGGTTTTCCTCAGGGTGTCAATTTGGATTGTAGCCCTCAAAAAAATGCACTATTTATATAATACTTAGATACAGTTGTGTTCATATTTCTTATAATTATGTACCTCAGTAGTCCATCTGCAATAAGATTTTGTTCAATCATCCTGCCTAAGTCTGGCCTTCAGTCTATCTTCAACTACAAGTACCGGTAGTCTACTCCTGGGTAAATTAAGTACTGTAGGGCTGTTTGCTCCTAAGAATTAAACAAGAACAGTTCTCAGACAATTGCTTTTAAATGAACAAAAATTGGTTATAAGATTAAAAATTCAATCTTATCTGTATTTCATTTATTGATTTATTAAAAAATGAATGAAGTTTTTTAATAAATATATTTTATTTTATACTCCAAATTGTATAACAGTGTATAATGTCTAATTTAAATTTGTACTATAAAAATAAAAAAAAACATTTTAAACCTAAAAACACAGAAAAAATACAATAATATAAATAATTTCTGGACCATTGTGTTTCATTTTGCTCCGTAAATTAGACAACTGTTTGTCTCAATGTTATTGATTTTTTTCACACAATATATTCTCATTTTTCACTTTGATTTGTCCCCCAACGGAACGCCTTACTTTTCTAACAACTTGATGATTGCTGTCTCTTTAACAAATAAGGCTAGTTAGTAATATAACTTGATGTAATCATATAAAAAAAATGCTATTTTTGTGAATAATTATTATTCATAAAACTGACGAACACACGGAAATGATAAATTTTAATCCTCAAATGTTGACCAGTCGCGGGAACATCATATACGAAATACATCAATCTAATATCCTTGCAAATTCCCATTTATTAGTAAAAACCACGTAATTCAATTTCAAAGTTATAAATTAAATTGTCAGAAATACATAACTAACTTACATGTACAATCTCACTGCACAGTGACCCGACATGACATCAGGCGATCGAGGCAACGTGGGTCTGCAATCTCGCATGTTTGTGACCTTCAACAGTTCAAGTTTCCTTTGGTTGATCGGGTGTCCCGGGCATAAAGAAATGGGTGACTTAAAATTGTTTTAATCATCCCTGGGCTTCTACAATGCTTCAATAATGTTTACGGCTTGTATATTTTTCAAAACAATCCTCTCGGGGTTATCTACGGGAAGCGACCTGGACATGTTGACATTCGCTACGGAACTGCGCATTTTATGGCAATTGTCGCAAATCAAAGAAACTACGGAACTGCGCATTTTATGGCAATTGTCGCAAATCAAAGAAAAAATCACGAACAACTTAATTTCTTTAATAGAAATAGGCTCAACAATACATAAACTAATAAATAAAACAATAATTTTTTATTCAGATTCATCAAATATGTAATTTGCATTTTACGACTTCCATAATCTATGGAGACCCATTGACGACGTAAAATGCTGACAAGAATCCATCCTTAAGTGGAAAAATTTATTTAGAATTTGACAATTGTATTGTTGGTCAGTCCAAAAAAAAAAAATTCACCACTGCACTTGAGACATACAGTCCCAATTGAAGCAATAACTGTGAGGTTTCTTCTAGGATCACATTGCCCAGTACCAGTTGAAAGACAAATGTTTCCCTTAGTGTTGGCTTATGGACTCACTGCACACAAGTCACAAGGTAGTACTTACCAGTATATGGTTGCAGACTTCACAAAACCTAAGAAATTATCACCTCCCCAAGGTTTAGCATACACAATGCTGAGCAGAGCAACTTCACGAAAGGGAATTAAAATTGTTAACTTCTCTAGTGCAGATATAAAAGTTAATCAACATGCAGCTGATGAAATGGAAAGAATGAGAATAGAGTCCTCTCTTACATGGAAACACCCAATTACTGAGCTCCCTCCTTTGCATACAAGTATTGGACACTTAAACATAAGATCACTTGTAAAACACTCTGCAGATTTAAGAAGAGATCAAGCAATTTACAGACTTCAGGTACTTTGCATGTCAGAGACCCATATTTCAAAGGTGGAAAACTGTTGTGCAATTAAAGGCTATAAACTTTTTATCAAGGACACAAAACACGGACTGGGAATTTACATTTCAGAGAACATCACAGATGTAAATTTTCATGACGTTCCAAGCACAGACAGTTGTCAAGCTCTTGCTATTGATATGTCTACCAAGGGAATTTCTAGTACTATTGTAGCTGTTTATCATCCCCCATCAGAATTGTATTCACAATTCCAGCATGATTTTTCTGCTCTGCTTCAGTGCATTCAACCAGCAACTCAAAATGTACTGCTACTAGGAGATTTCAACATTGATGCAAATACACCGTCCTTCCAAGCTCTTTTAAGACAACACAACCTTCTTAATATCATGAAACAACCAACTCATTTTCATGGCAGGACACTGGATTTAATTAAAACTTCAAATCCTCAACTTCCATCAAACTCATTTTCAGTACCATATTCAGATCATCACCTCATATGGACTGCCTTATATTGACCTTTCATCTCAATGGTAAACTACTTTCTTTATTTCTATTAGAAATACAATTTTTAAAAAAAATGTCTATATCATTTCACTTAATATAATAATACTTTAAAAATATTCCTTTACAAAATCCATGATAACACAGAGTCAAATAAATTTAAATTGCTCTTTATTAAATTTTGCAGGAATTGAAGAATATAAACAAATGCTTGAAACGATTTTATTTGGTGTTCCCTCACTATGGTCTGGAGAAAGGACTGATGGATATGACTTTCAATCAGTGTCTGTGATGCTGCAGCTGGAAACGGTACTTACATTACACAACTTAGAATTACTGTAAAATCACATACTTATAAGGTGTGGATCAAATTCCATGATAAACAAATGGTCTTGGTTCATGGACATTAAATTTCATTGTCAATACAATGCTATTTTCATTTTGTTGTATACTTTGAAATTTTACATTTTTGGGGAAGATGAATCCTTGAGTCTCCTCATACCATGAAAAACAACAAAAAAATAATCCTCCACAAAATAAGTGTTTCACAATATGTACTATATGAATCTAAATGACATGTATTCCATCTATGAATGTTTTGCAGAAACATGCACAAACTTTTCTCATTTCAGGTTAAACAATAGTCAGAAGTCCATTTGAGTTTGACGTAGTAGGAGGAAATCTGTTGTCCATGACATTTTTAATTGCAGTTGTCACCCCCTACTGAGTGAGTACAATTTCTATGTAAAACCATGGTGAGATGACCACTGATTACTTCATGTAAAAATACATGTACATTGCTGAAAATGAAAGTATTTTTGTAGCACAGGATGTGTCTCTGGTCATTGACACCTACCTACAAGCATATAAGTAATGACTACAAGAATGTAGCAGCAGAGAGGAAGAGGATTAATTCGGAAGAAGCAAAGGATGACACTTTCACACACAAGATTTTCACTAAGGTACCTCTGTGTATAAATACCAGACAACTTTGCCTAACTTGTGAAACACCCTTTATATTGTAAATTTATTATATTTAGCGTGTACAATATGTCGGTCAAAAGCTCTACAGAGCTTATGTTTCTGTTATAATAATCCGACTCAAAATAAAATTTTCTGATTCTGATATTTGGCGGAAATTGATTTTTGAATAAGTTAGCGTAGATTTGATATAGCAGATTTCTTCATTTTCTTCTTTATGTGTATATGTGCAAGACATTTAGCGTTGTACTTGATTTAGCGGTTGCTGCGTTCCAGTATACATGTATCTTAAGCTTGTAACTGAACCCAATTGAATTAAATCAAGATTATTTATTGAATATTTTAAAATTTTCTGTTACAATGCAATTCAAGTGCATGCAGTTACACTAAATATGTTTAGTAAATACGAATAGGTTGAATGCTTCCATGTAATGTTATTGTTATCTCATTCTTACAAATAACATTCTGATTGTGTTCATGATCATCTTCTTGCCAAAAACTAACAACATTATATTTCTCCAATAAAATGTTTGAGAAATAAGATATTAAAATATCCCTTAAGAACCCCTTATACAGGAATCACATGATATGACCGAGCACTTATACCGTACATTTACTGGTAATAAAGACATTTCTTTAAATGTCATCCATGACAATTTGTCTCTGCTAATCTTTACTTTATTCAGATGAAAAATTTCATCTACTCTTTTGCAGCATTTTCACAGACATGGTAAAAGTTGATCAAGTTACGGGGCACTGTCCTCAGTTTGATGCCTTTGACTCCCTCTTGATAGTGAAGGAAATCCTGAAAATTTGTGCCACACTGCCTGGAGTGCAGGGGAAGGATGTCAACAGGGTACACAAAAAAACACAATCTAATAATGCTGAATATAAGAATACAAGACTTTTAGTGAAAACATTAAAAGTTACTACAAATTATGGTTAAACCTATGGGGAAAAAATTCCAGAAATGTACATTACTTTACTATACAATAATATAAATAATTTAGTATGGCATTGTTATAAGTTAAAACAAATGTTTCATAGGTGTCTGACTAGAACATGAAGAAACTATGACTGTTGCCTTATGCTGACAAACTGTGTGGATGTTACTCTGGTGAAGAACACAGAAAGCTATCCATTGCTATCTCTTACTCATAGGGAATCCACAGATCATATTCCTGGTAAGTGCAATCAGTATCTACCACTACAAAAATTCAGTATTGTGTAATCTGTCTGTCTTCTGAAATATCTTTTAACACAAAAATAATACATTTATAGATGTATCCTATTAACCAAAAAATGCCTTTATTTCACCTCATTAACAATTTCTTTCTGTCCCATTAAGGATGAGCCCACTACTGTAATGGAGTTCAAGGCTCAGAGATTCTTATGGAGTTTTACATGTATTAACAATTTTATCAAGGATGGATGTTCAGGTACATTTACCTCTTATAAGTAAAATATGCCTATATACAGTTCTTCTCTACAGGGAGAGAGATCCATCTGCACGATTTTCTGCCCAATCTACAACACTAAACACCTCCAGATCTCCTCAAACTGTTACTGTGACACTAATTTCCAAAAAATGTCTTCCAGGTAATACATATACAGATATTCAACTTTAACTTTTAAAAATATATTTTCATTTTCAGGCCTCTTTTAAATACTATTGAACATGTATTTTTATGATACCATTTCAAAACATTTCTTTTCCATACTTGTATTACATTGTCAAATGTTATTGAATAGTACATTAAAAATGGAAAATCGAAATGCAATTTTTTGTCATTATTTAAAAAAAATAAAAAGAGCAAGAGACATGGAAAACGTGATTATTCATAGATCATTGTCACTCACAGTGATAGACAAACTATATAACCACCCTCTTCAAAGTATTAACAAGATGTGTTTGTGAAACACTATGCACCCAGCGGCAACAAAGTTTAAAAAACCCATATTTTTAGCATATAGGTCACAGTCAAGGTCATTGCTCTTGGTGTCATTTAAAAGAACTTGAATAGTAGAGAATGCATATCTAATCTCTTAGGGTTCAAAAGTAATGGTGAAGGTTTAAAAAACCTATTTTAAGCATATAGGACACAGTCAAGATCACAAAATCATGGATCTTGATGTCATGTGAAAGGGCTTAATTAGCATGATTAGTGGAGTATGCATGCCAAATATTAAGTCTCTATCTTTCTTCGTCCAGAAGTTACCATATTGCGGGTTTTCTTGGCGGGTGTAAAATTCCGCAATTTGCCAGCTCAAAGATATGTCAATAATTTTGGCGTAATTTATTTTAGCGGACACAAGAGTTTCAGCCTTTTGTAGATTAACACTGAGAAGAGTACTGGCTATTTTAGCAATTAAAATTTTAGCAGGATACCATCAAAACGCGAAAATAAGCTGAAATTAGCACCCCGCTAAAATAACCTGCTATACGGTATGGTCAAGGTTACAGTTTGCCGACAAAAAAGCTATATTTAGCGTATAGATCCCAGTCAACGTCACAAGGTCATTGACCATGGTGTCATTTAAAAGAACTTAATCAGTGGTGTATGCATACCAAATGTGAAGTCTCTTTTATTGTTTAAAAGTTTTGGTAAAGGTTAAAATTTGCAGAAAAAAAAATTTAGTGTATACCCGGTAGGTCACAGTCAAGGTCACAAGAACATTGATCTTGGTGTCATTTGAAACAGCCTAATTAGTTCAGTATGCATG